ATAGAAATAAAATCTAAGATAAACTTTAAAATGAATATCATTTTATTGAATTAGTTTACCTTACTTTTCATCAATTTATTAATTTTTTTGCTTTTTTATTACTTTTTGATCAATAACGTTCAAATTCAAATTCAAACCACCAACACTTTTCAATATTAACCCACACAAATGCATTTTCATACACAGTCCAATTTTAAGTACAGTGTAGGACCAACAATTCATTTGGTGGGTCCAACAATATGTTTAAAGCTAAAAATAAAATTTTCTCAGCTAAGCCAAGTATTTATGAAATTTTAACAATTAATTAAGAAACTATGTTAAATTTAAACATAAGTTTCTTAATTAAGTATTTTATTTAAATGTTTCGTTCACATATTTTTCTGCGTTTGTATCATGAAAATCCTTGATAAGGTCCATCAATCCAATCATTGACCCTAATTGAAATAAAATAAAACGTCTTGCTTTGATAAAATACAGACTAAAACTGAAACTCTTTATTAATTTTCTCTTTTAGCTTTTGCTTCTTATTTGTTTTCTCTTTTAATTTTTGCTTCTTATTTTATTTCTTATCCTCTATCCGTGAGGGGAATATGGGTTTTTGTTCGGGAAGGGTTGGTTGGGGAAGGGATAATGGAACTTGTTCTAACTTGTATACTACAATAAAAATTTTAAGAAAAACAAAGAATTTCTTTAATTTGTTTTTAATTTTTCAGTTACAAATCATCGTCTTCCTTCAACCTCCACGTAATTACGAGACATATCAAGGTCGACAGCATAATTTTCTTCATTTCTCTTTCATTTAAGTGAAACTTATATGATTAAATCATTCACTGGCAGGCAAATTGATTGCGATCTAATGAAACAAGACGTTAATCGATCTTCTACGATATTATAATTTATTAAAATATTTCTTTTAATATCAAACACGAGTTGATACTTAAATCGAAGATTTTGTTTAAAATCGTCTTGCAACTGATAAATAATTGCATCTGTCGTTTATGCAGAAGAAACAATTTTTCTAGGTTTAACACACAACTATCGTGATAATTTATTGACTACAGCGTAAATTAATTTGCAATTTATCTTTGTTATTAGCATTCGGTGAAAACAGCTTAAGAATACGCTTAACATTGACATAAAGTTTGTTAACATTTTTTTAATTCATTCCCTGTTGATGATGCACTTGGACCTGAAGAGTTGATCGAGAATCATTTACTCAATTTATGCAAATTTTATTTTTCACTTTAAAATGAAGTTAAAAACGTTCTGAATTGTTTGATAAATTTCATGTCACTTTGTGCGAACAAGCATGATTGCATTTAATGAAGCAACATTTAACTTTAATTCGAATATTAACTGACATGAAACAAAGAACGAGTGAGAAAAGAAATCTGCGCTCCATGAAATGAAGCATTAAGCTCGATGTAGTTGTAAGCGATGAACAAAAGCAAAGAAGAGAATCTTGTATAAAAAGACGAAAGAAAACTTTTCTAAGATTGTACTTTTTTCATTACTTTTGCATTGCATTGCAACAGCACTAGAGCGAAACTGATGAACGTGCAGCATTCTATGATTTTCTGTTAAGGAAATGTGAAAAATGTGATGCAGGAAAAGAAAATCTGAATCGTAATGGAACATTTCTGAGCATGATTTGGAAGCATTAGAAGCGTTAGAGGAAGATAAAGAAATCCTGGAAATTGAATGAAAATCTTATGAATACCAGGCGCTGCATCGACAACAGCGCATGTTGCATCAACCATTGACCAACTGCAAGCTTGAATTTGCAATTGAAACTAGTTTCTGGCTAGTTAACACAGTTGTCTCAAGACATGTTTCTCTGTTAAGACAACGTGGAAATTTAAAGTTTAAAAATGGACTTATAAAAAATAAAGTTTTTTCATGCTTTCGTTGCATTAGAAAATTGAAAAACTTTGAATTCATTCAAAGAAAATTGAACAAATATCATTGATTTAAAAATATTTTGGATGAAATTAGTTGAGATTGAAAAACTTCCAATTTCCAGAAATATAAACGGACTTGCATTTATTTCCATGACATGTGGATTATCACTATCAAAAGACAATCTTGAACAATTTGATGACAAAGTTTGCAGGATTAGTCATCTATAAGGAAGCCATTGGAAATATGTTGTATGAAGCACCAGGCAAACTAGAAACAAGACTAGTGCAACTTTTGTTATTTCATTTGCAGTTATTTAGAAGTGCACTATTTTCTACCAATGCCTGGTGCTTGGCGCGCCAACTTTTCTACAACAAAAGCTAGTTTTTTCCGTTATAAAATAATTTCACATAAAGTGAACTTTAAAATCCGACGTCAAGATTTTCATGTTTTCTTCATATTTATTTTAAAATTTCTTCTTCATCTTTGCGCTTTGAATAACTTGTGAAACATTTGTCTCTCATCAATTATGTAGGGATACAGTACATCGTTGAATTTAAAAGACGACAATTTTATATGCTCCCCTCAAATGTTGGCAAGACACTGTGAAGCGTTTCTTTTACTTTAAAATGGAAAACGATTTCTTTTCTAACGCAACGCATGGCACAACGTAAATACACAACAGACAGAAAAACTCAACTTTTTTTTCTCCGTTGCATATATTTTTCATAAAATTTTGAATAGGAACGCAGCTAAATTATTTTTGCAAGGATTGAGCGCGCGCTATGGTGAAGTTATTGAAATCATTAGTCATTTCATCAATTTAATGATTTTTTCGAACAAGTTTCATAAAAGATTGGACAATAAAATTCTTCCAATTTTGTAAAGTACAACGTTCAGTCAAGCTGAGCTAAAAGTTGCTCGCCTGGTGTAAGAGATGAAGAGAAAACATTTTTAAGTCTTATTATAATGTTTAGCTCTACATTTACTGTAAAGATGCACTGCCAAGTTAAGATACGTTTCAGATAACTCATTTTAATCGAGGGAACTGAACGACTTCTCTTGGCCTCGTTTGATACAAAAGAGTAATAATAAAATCTTCAAACAGTTCACTCGTTCACCGGAGAACATAAAACCATGATGCACTGTGAGACAAAATACTTGAAAATTTTCCCACGGCAAATGTGTTTTGCAATAACCAAACTAACAGTTTGAATTTCTTTCTGTTGTTAAGCTTTTATTCCATAACAATAAATATCAGAGATTGCCAAACCTAAGATTCAGAAACTGTTTTGAACTTCAAACAGGTTTAAAACTTCTTGAAAGGTTTTAGCATCTGTGGTATAAATATTGAGACATGCCTAGAAATGAAATTTTTGGTGACTAAAGATTTCATCATGATATGAATTCAATAACAACTCTTCAATGCTTCATTCTGCAATACATATTAAGTTGGCATATTTAAAAACAACTGCCTTACCAGATGTTTAATCAACCAATGAATAAATTTTTGTTCTTCATCACAATTAGCTTCCGTATCGTTGCCCTTTTCAGTAATTACAATTTGTGTCTTGAATTAAATTGATTTAAAAAGAGTTTATCAAAAAGAGTGAACAAGAATAATACTCTAGAAAGTTTCAGAAGCAAAACTTTGATAATCAGCATTATCCAATAAAACCTTAAGAAGAATTCTTTTCAAATCGCGTAATAATTGAAAATCATTTAACCGTGGAAGCAAGTTAATAATTAAATAAAGAAAATATTTCTTTGATGAAATAACATTCAATATCATTTCAAATATCTTTAAATTGGAATGATTAGCAAGATTTCTTTAAACGTGACCCTAAAGCACAAAACCTTCTGTCTGACATCGCTTTCATACAAAAACATTTCACTACACAGCTCTCATTTTTATGCGACCCTCGTGAACTCCTCCTTCGATATTTTGTGTTTAAACCGAATGAGTAGAATAAAAGTGATTTGAAAAATTATACGCTTTTTGAACGTTAGGTTATTTAAACGAGATCAACCTCGCCTTAAGGTTTATGGCGCGATTTCATTTGAAGTTTTTAAATTTCACTTCCAATCTAAGAAGTTCATGTGTGCCTAATAAAAATGTTATGAACAGTATGACGAGAGAAAGACGCTGTTGAGTGTTTAAATGGCTAAAAACCCTCTTTCAAACTCATCACATCACTCGTCTACGGTTCTCATACATAAAAGTTTTTAAAATTTTACTTCCGAAACCTCAAAATTTGCTACTGCTTTTAGTATAAAGATTTTAATGTCGTGCTTCACGATGAACAACGTTCAACTAACGACTGATGTAGAATACTAGAGCACACTATACACAGCAGACCTTCGTAAAACCTCCACAGTGAATTAGAAATTTAACATTTGTGGATTTCCAATAGGAACGCATGAAAGCTGAGAGCTGTTTCTAATACCAATTCTCCCAGTTGTCGGAGTGGAAGTCTAACATCTAAAAATCACAAACATTTATGCAAACAACAACATTCTCACATGCAAAACGTTATATTGGAAGAGAGAAGAAAATCATACGACGCGATATTTTACAGTTCTTCTTCTGCTTCTTATCTACGACACTGAAATGAACACATACATGATATAAATTCAGCCCTATGAGTTCTCATGTGGTGATTGGTGAAGAGTGTTTTACATTACCCAGCATACAAGCAAGCAGCTCTTTCTATCGTCTAACAATAGAATCATTCTCTGTTTTTGATGAGTAACGTGCGCCTGATCCACCACTAGAAGCACACAGCATTGCTTTTGATGTCAACTAACAATTTTGTTTTGGAATTGATGTTTTGTATTGGATGGAAATTCATGAGATCTTTGCATATGTTTCCGATATCCAAAAAAAGTTTATTTAGGCAAGTGAAACAATGAACGATGAGAATTCCTAATAAACGACGAATACTTTTAGCTTTTATAAATTAAATATCGTCATCCTGTTAATTATGTTACAAGCTGCATGCTTCATTATAAAAGAAATTTTAACAAATTTTAATTAATTTTTCTCATTTCTTGATTAAATTATCTAAACAATTAACAGAAATAAATTTTGGTGTCATTTTTAATGTCATCATCATTAACTGCGATGCATTGGAACTTACTGAAATCACACAACGTTTTATTGTAGACTTCACTTCTATACAAGTTGCTTCTTTTGCCTATTTTCTTTGCAACAAAATTTGTTACTGAAAAAAATACTCGGCGAACATGAATCGATGCAAGTTTCACGTGGATTGCTTTTCCAACACACATATGTGTCGTTGAAACAGATTTTTTTCCGCCAACCGTTCAGCATGCAAAAGCAGTTTAAATTTTAGGAACGTTATCGTCTTTTGATACTCAGAATGTTTCTTACGTTGAACTTTTAGTTTCCGAGAATAGTTTCTCCTCCTTTTGTGGAAACTATAAAACTATTTCTCGAAGTATTATAGTTGTGCAGTGACTAGGGTTGCAGAGACATGAGACAACTGCAGCTTTCGTTTGTGCAAATGCAGAAAACGAAAAAGTTCAAGCTTCTCGCTACTTAATGTTCATTGTTGTGTTTGTTTGTAAGCTTAAAACATTTTATTGACGCTTAAAAGCTTTAAAATTGAAACCTTTAACTTTATTTTAAACTTTTGATCATCCCGAAATGTTGCACAATTTAATTGAAATAAATTGAAACGAAATTTAAATAATTTTGGATTTATAAAATGTCACCTTCACTCAACAAATCATGAAACGCCTTAAGATGATACATTTGCTGTTTATATCTTACTTTTTAATTTCTACACATCTCCAAACTTTCATGATAGCTGGGTAAAATGGTGAAAAATATTGGTTATAAAATAGTTGCCACTAGCAAAAATCGAATTTTCCAATTCGAAAAAACTGGCTTGCAATTGGAGGAAATGCTTATGCTTCTCAATAGTTGGTTGAAAGCGTGATCAAATGAATGTTATCCTTCTGTTGTCGACCCGTAAAATCTTCACAACAGTTTGTAAGAGAGCGTCGGAGCCCCCAATCAATCTAAGCTCTCTGAATAGAACAAGCCGTGTTGGAGTCGAAGAAGAAAAGAAAACACAAACCACCGACCAAGCGCATCACACCGACACCAGTGCTTGTACTTGTGCTCGTTTGAAGAGAAAAAGAGAAAACAAAATGGTGTTATCGACAAGTCGTTGGAGCAAGCAAAGCAAATTAAATAGAAAATCATAAATTTCGGTCGGTTGTGTCGTCGCAGTCGCGTTTCGTATGTGTCTGAGGCGAACAAAAACGAAACCACTTAGTACGTTGTAGTTGAAACGCTTGAGTATAACTTTGGGGTAAATTTGAAATTGTATCAGACATTCAAAAACTCGTGGAGCGCACAAATAATAAATGAACAATATAAAGTATTCAAACCTGCATGAACACATTGCCTCCGCACATTGTAGCGAGCAAACAAAACCAGTCACAACATGATGCTTGTTTCTCGTAACTCATTTCACGTTAAACACAAACAACAAATTCAATAGGCGCGCATAAAATGCAACACATGGGTGATAATGCTTTCGAAGTAAAGAAATGATATGACAGCGTTCAGTCTGTAAATATACGCGCGAAGCATTTTACTACGTCGTTGTTCTTTCATTCATTCTTCGTTTGCTTTTTTTTTGCGCGCTCGTTACATTCCAACCAAAAACATTTTTCTCGAAGTAATGTTGTGAACGAACCACATTTTTTTTAATTTATTTTCCTCTCGTCTGCGAATTGAAATTCATCTGTGATGGGGATTGTTCGTCGACTTCTTATGAAACGCAAATATTCGCTGAGATTCTTTGCTTTTTGTTATGTCAGTAAACAACATCGACAACAAGGAAAACATTCTAAAGATAAAAGTGAAACAGTAAATTTTGTTGTTGAAATCAGAAAAGCACAGAAATGTTTATCGAACAGGAAATAAAATTTGCCGTGAAGAAAGAAGACAAGAAAAGCATCGAACAGTAGAAAATTTATTGAAAATTAATCGATAACTGATAGGAAATGAGAAAGATTCATTTATAACAAATCGATTGCAACAGGCAAGCAGAAGCGACTGATTGGGGTTTTCGAAAAGTAAACATTTTCGTTATGTTGGATACCAAAAAAACACAAAAATTTCTTCTTTTTTCCATCCATTCGTTGGCTTCTGCTTCGTCTCCCCCTCTTCGTAGTGCTTTTTTGGGAATCTCTTTCGCTCGTTAATGTTACTGCGCGGAAACACAAACACGAACATTACAAGCAACTCTACGGGATGAAATGCTTTTCTTTTTTATATTTGGGGACACTCCATGTTCACATTTATTCACTTCATTTGGTAAATGTTTAGAAACATTCATTGTGCGATGTGACAGAAACAAAACAAAAGAATTTATTCATCGATGTTTATGTTCCGGAGAAGAGATGAAACTTTTCTGTTTATTTTCAAATAATTTAAAATGTTCATCAACGAGTATAATTTTTATTTAAGTAAAGATGAGAGAAAGTAAAATTTCAACTAAATTATCTGACTTAATAAACATTTATGGCTTAATTTAATGTTTGCATAAAAGGCTAAAGTTCAGTTGTTTCTAATTTCTTCGTAAGAATGCCGCCGTTTGTCAGCTTGTCAATATGTTGATACATATTCAGATGTTTAATTAAATTATTTTGCGTATGTAGTCCGTTAATTTCTTTAGACTTTGACATGTTTCTGAGGAAGTTATCATCAGCAAGTTTATGTTGATCATCAAACTCGCTGGTCACAAGAACGTTTTCGTCAAGCGAATCTTGTCCAGTTGAACCTTGACTGAAACTGTCATCATTCTTGTACCATTCATTCTCATAAGCCTTCAACCAAATAGGATTGGAACCTTCCGTGCTATGTTTGTTTGTATTTGGCACACGAGCGATGGGAATTTTCGCTGGTTCAGATGGAACTGAAAGAAAAATCTTTTGAATGTTGTTTAATTAGAATTAATGGAATTTGTCAACTTACGATAAGAGTTCACTCTTGCTGCTTTTAACTGCCGTCGATAATTTGTTCGTTGTGACAAGCAAAGCGTAAAGACAATCACTAATAGGGCGCCCATAACCAAGTTCATCATCCCCAGCCAAATCAGCGTTTGTGGATTTCCGAATTCTGACGTTAGTACCAAGGCCTCAGAAGCTTGAGTATCGAGAACATTAAATTCTTTAAACAATTCGTCCAATTGCTCGATGTTATGATCGACTAGTTTAAGCACATCGGTTACTTCAATGATTGAATTGTCTTTTCTATCAACAAGGTGCAAATACAAGTCGGTCTTTGTTCTATCAACAGTTCCATCTTTGTTCTCATGAACTTTAAAATCGTCAATATTGACAATTGCCTTTGTCACATTGCTTAACGTTCTGAGTGAAAAGAATTTATTTAAATTTAATTAAGTAACATTTTAAATCAATTTAAACTTACTGCTTGAAACGATCAATTTTATCTCTCAACTCAAAGTTCTGTTGTCGTAAAACAATTTTCAATCTTTGATCTTCACGAAGAAGGTAAATGTAGACGTGTGCAGTATCATTGAAGCCACCAGTATCTTTAACCATAACTTTGAAGTCAAAATACCCTTTCATGCCTTTCTGCGGATCAAAATTCAATTTCACACTTCCTGTTTCTTTATCAATCACAAACGGCTGATCTTTAATCTTCTCAAGTCCTTCAGCTAATGTTCGATGTGTCTTGCCAACTTGAAAGTAAAACACTTTCGCGTTGTCACCTTCATCAGCGTCATTAGCTCTAATTGTCATAATCTCAGTTCCAAAATCATCAGAAGTTGCAACACCACCAGTGAAAATCTTCTGCACGAACTTCGGTGGATTGTCATTAATATCTTTGACATAAACAATGACACGAACAAGTGTTGCGTCATCAGCAACAAGTTGACTGCTTTCAGGCTCCGATTCTTGCATGTCTTCAATAATCTCTTCAGTTTCATTGACAATATTTTGAGAGTCTTTAAATCGATTGATCTCATTTTTTGGTTTTCTTAATTTACTGTTGATGATCTTTGGATATTTATTGAAAGTAAAATTGAAAGCTTCCGGTGTTGTCAAGCAATCTTCTGATGCTTTAATAATCAGCGTGTAGTTTGCTTTCACTTCCCTGTCGAGTTCACGATTGACACTCAAAATGTGCGACACGCGATCTAAATTGAAAATTCCTTCTTTATCTCCATCGACTATGTAATAGCAAACAGCTGATGGATCATCATCCAAATCATCGACTTCGTCACGATCTATTGTGTCTGGGAGTTTTCGTTTCTCAACACCAGGCTCCACATGTTCTATTAATATTCAAAAAACTTTTTCATGAACACAAGCAAATAAACAATCTTCAATCTCTGCTTACCTGTGAAGTTTACTGAAATCGATTGCACAATGAATGAAGGTTCGTAGTTGCTAACGCTATGGACATAAATGATGAGATCAAGATCTGATGACAGTTCTTTTGGAATTCCCTGGTCGTAAGCTTCGACACGAATCTTTAAAAATGAATTTAATTAAATAATGTAAAGTTTTCAACTTTCTTCTTACTTCATAAAGTTTCTGACGTTCTCGATCAAGTGGAACTCTTAAAGATAACAAACCGGTGTTCTCATCTATTGCAAATGTTTTATAATTGCCAAACAAATCAGGCTTTAATCGATACTTTACTAAAGCATTTAAGCCAACATCTTCATCTTTTGCATGAACTTTTGTGATGATTTGTCCAACTGTTGCATTCTGTTTACAAAAAAGTTTTTAAATATTTAACACAACTGTCGAATGTTGAACTCACCTCTGGAATGCGAATTGTATAATTATTCATTGGAGTCACAAAATATGGTGCATGATCATTATAATCTTGAATACAAATATCAATCTTCATGTCGATTGCTTTCTGAGGTGTTCCGAGATCTTTCACATTTATATTTAATGAGTAATTTCCATAAAGTTTATTCAACTTTCCTCTGGCATAAACATTTGCATTCCAAGGATCAATTTGCTTTAACACAAATAAATCAGCTGCCGATCCACCTCGTATCTCGAATCTTAATTGTCCATTGGGTGTCATTGGATCATCTGCGTCACTCGCTCGTATTAAAGTTACAACCTCTTTAGTATCATGAAACTCTGTTATGGAAGTGCACGCAGGTTCTTTCTGTGATGGAAACTCAATAACCGGCGCATGATCATTCTCATCAAGTACTTTTATACTATAAAAAAGAGAGAAAATAAAATAAACAATTCAATTTCAAACATTTCGATGACTTACAAGAATTGTTTGAAAGCGTTTCGACTTTCACCGCTTGTCGCTCCAAAGTGATAATTATCCCAAATTTCAATGACAATCGCATAAGATGATTTGGTTTCTCGATCGATTTGATCAGCAACTTTTAAGATGCCACTTTCAGCATCAATTGAAAACTTTCCTTGCGAACTTAATCGATCAATTAGAAAAGTAATTTTTCCGTAATCGCCTGAATCAGCGTCGTGCGCTTCAATGATGGCAATTTCAGTTCCAATCGGTTGATTTTCATAAATTGTGAGATTCTGAAAATCAGTTACGAAGTAAGGATTGTTGTCATTCTCATCTATCACTTGAATGAAGCAATCAGCAAGTGATGATCTCGAAGGGATTCCCGAATCGATGGCTCTGACAGTGAAGTTAAGCCATTGAAACAATTCATGGTCAATTTTTTCTTGCACCACAATTTCACCAGAAACTGCGTCTAAATGTACAAGATTGAGAATCTCTTCAGGTCCATCAAGTTCATAAGTGACTGACTTGTTCTTGTCTGCATCAGTAGCCACAACATTAAGAATTAAAGTGCCAAGTTGACTATTTTCAACAATCGATCGTCGATAAAATGGCTTGTGAAATTTCGGATTATTATCATTCTCATCTGTAATCACAATTGATAAAATTCCCATCGCTAATTGCTTTCCATTAATTGATGCAATGTCTTCAACAACGACTCCAATTTTTAGCGTTTCGATTTTTTCTCGATCAAGTAATTTCACAACACGAATTAAACCTTGATTTGGATTCAAATCAAAAGCCGACATGTAGTCATATTCTGTTTGTTTGATGATGACACCATCTTCAGTACGAGCTTCTGATAATTCACTGTCGAAGAAATATCGAAGCACTGGCTCATCGTCTAAATCATCTGCTACCAGTTGATAAACGTAAGTGCCAACTTGTGTGTTCTCTTTAATGAAAATTGTCTCAAATTCACTAAAGAATGGAACTTTGTTATTGACATCAAGTACGGTAATGTTGACAACGCATGTACTCGTCAATTGCTGATCACCACCATCAAGTGCTGCTACTGTCAGTAAATAATTCTTCTTTTTCGGATCTGACAAGTCAGGATCAAGTGAGGCTCCATTTGCGACTGAAATGATTCCAGTGTCGGAGCCAATGACAAATTTATCGAAAGCACCTTTCAAAATTCGATAATAAACGACATTGTTAGGTGCCGATCCATCGCCATCAACTGCCATTACCGTCATGATCGATGTTCCACTCTGAAGTTGTTCACTCACAGCAATTTCATAAGTTGAACGTTCAAATATTGGAACAAAATCGTTTTCATCTTGAACATTGATAATGACAGGAACTTCTGAAAACATTTCTGGCACTCCACCATCTGAAGCTTGAATTATTAACTGAATCGGTCGCATTGACGACTGATGCTTTCTTGTTAACTTTTCAAAGTCAATTGGACTTATTAATCTTATGATTCCTGATATTGAATCAATTGTGAAATTATTTTTAAATTCGCCTTCAATAATTTCATAGAAAACTTCGCTGTTTCTTGTTCCATTAACGTCAGCGTCACGTGCTTCAACTTGAAGTAAAGTTTCAAATGCTTTTCGATTTTCAAACAATCTTGTTTCATATTTTCGTTGTAAGAAGATTGGTGGATTATCGTTAACATCTTCAAGAGTAATTATAAGTGGAACTGTGTTGCGATTTCCTTCTCCGAAATTGTCTTTCGCTTCAACAGTCAAATAATGCTTTTCATAAAGTTCGCGATCAAAGAAGTTCCCTGCGGTGCTTTTTACTGTGATGATGCCGGTGTTTGGATGCATATTTAGAAGTTGTGCCACACTTCCAGTCAGTCCCGTATATCTGATGCTTTGTGTTCCATAATTTCCAGAATCGAGATCGATGGCTTCGATTCTCGCTATTGAAACGCCTACGGCAACATTTTCAGGAACTAACACATTATAAGATTGCTTTGAAAATTGCGGAATGTTATCATTGCGATCTTTAATGTACACAATTAATGGAACTGAACTAAATTTCCCATTTTCAGTTATCTCTTTAGCAACAATCGTGAAATTCAAAACTTTAATTCTTTCGTAGTCGAGAATTTTAGGATTTCTCACTCGAACAATAAAAGTTGCTTCATTTAAACTTCGTTTTGGTGATATCTCAAAAACATCATTTGGTGGTTCTAGAAAGAGTTCAAATGTTCCATTATTTCCTAAATCATAATCGAAAACTTCATTTTTTGGATCAATTTGAAGAAAGTTGACTGGCGTGTTTTGTTGAGCATTTTCCGCAATTTCACATTCGTATCGATTGCTTTTGAATGATGGTGTTGAGTCATTTTCATCAGTTAAAATTATTGTTATTTCAGTCTTCACTGATGGTGCTGGTGTTACTTTTGAATTTCGTTCAACAGCGAGAATTTCCAAAATATAAGCGCCATTAATGAGATTTCGACTGTCTTCACGGTCAAGCGATTTTATTGTCGTGATGATTCCGGTGTCTTCATCAATCTTGAACATATTGTTGCTACCTCTCACAATTGAGTATTTAATTTTATTGTTAATTCCTCTGTCACCATCGATTGCACGCACTGTGGTGACGACACTTCCTTTTGGTATGCTTTCTGATATTCTTGTGACAGGCGATTGCGAAACAAACTCGGGACCTTGATCTTCTAAGTCTTTCACTTTCACGACAAGTGCAGCAGTTCCGGTATTAATTCGACCTTGATTTGCACGATCAATCGCAAGAACTTTCAACTGATACAAACTTTTTCTTTCATAATCTAATGGTTGTCTAACTCGAATTATTCCTTTTCCTTGATTCGTTGAAATTGAGAATGCTTCGTTATCACCATCAAGTTCTTCTAGATAATAAACAACTTGACCGTAAGCACCTTCATCTCGATCTGTTGCTTCAACTGTAAGTAATACTCCTGGGTGACTATTTTCTGGAACTTCTACCGCTGAAGGAAATGGAGTGAAAACTGGTTCAGAGTCGTTCACATCTTCCACAAGCATCAGAAGACTTTGAGTTACGAATCGACCCTCTCCAAGTTTGTTATCAGTCAACGTTAAAATGATCGTGTAAGCATCTTTGGTCTGGAAATAGAAATTTTAATTTATGTTGTGGAACATCATCTGTTAAATATCAAATCATAATTAAATTTACCTCTCGATCGAGTTCCTTCTCCAGAAAAATCCCTGCTTCATTATTGTCTAATTTCTTTACGCTAATGATATCACTATCGTATGTACTTTGAACTCCAAAATCCAGTTCGTCGCCATCTGGATCGAAGCCTTTTAGTTTATAAATAAGACTCCCTGTTAATTGATTAAAATAATTAAAGTAAATTGTTGACGAATACCAGAAGCCATTTATTCTTACCCACGGGTGTGTCGGGGCCTTCTCTCAAACGAAGAACTATTTCTGAATGTTGATCGTCAATGAGAAAGCGAGGGGGACGATTGTTCCGCGTTTCTAAACAACTTACACTACTTAAGATTAAAATGAAGAAAAAATTTGATACTAAACGCTTCAGTGCCTTTATATGATCGCATTTTAATCGAACTTTTCTGTGAGCTTTGGCAGATTTGGTTTTGTTGTTCATTTTTATTTCTCTCAATTTCATCATTGTAAAATGTCTCACGTTAACGATATTTTCTTTATCTCTTTGTTACTTAATTTCGTTGTGTTACGCAATGCGATTATCAAGTGATCGAATTACTTTTTGCGTTACATTTTTTACATCGTCTTCTTGAATTTCTTCCCACTGTTGATCGAAGAAGTTGAATTAATCTGCAAAAAGAATGAAAATTTACAAAGTAAATGTCAATCTGAGCTTATTCATGCTTGTTTTAATCTAATTTTAAATTTATTTCGAACCGCAAACTTTAATGGATCTCATTGTTGGAATTTAAAACTAACAATCACAATTTTGCTATCAAATTTTTCTTATTTCATGCTCATTTGTAATGCTTAAATTTTGATAGTAAATAACTTCCGAAATCGAGACTTATCAATGTTGCATAATTCTTCTATTATCGCTTCTCTTTTATTTACCAAGGCTTGCATTTGTGTTCTGTTTTACGCACCGTTTTGATACCCTTCACGGGTCTTTTCATCTAAATGGATATTGAACATTGTATAACATAAACGTTTTCAATGTAAAATAGTGAAAGATTTGTATTTAATCATAACAAGTTAAAAAATACTTTAGTAGGCAGATTTTCCACCAAAAAAATGAATGTCAGATTGTGCAACGAGGCATATTAATTAAAACAAAAACGAATATAAACAAAACAGAAAATTGCTTAATGAGCTCGATTCACCATTGAAATAAATGTTTGATTTGCAAAGCTTTACATAGCGTGACACGTTACTCATTGTTAGATTCTTATTTTTCTTTAGATATGTTAATGTTTCACAATTTTATGATTTGCTTATCATTGAAGGCATCTGACATTGCAGCTCAAAAGTTTGGTTCTTTGATTTGGCAAACTCTCATTGACCGCGAAATCAAAAACAAAAAAGTATTTTAATCAAACATCTTTGTGAAAACATATTTTGATATGCATTTTAATTGTTGTCTCTCGCTTCTTGGCTTTCACATACATAAAATATGTACAGATCGTCATTTCAAGGTTCGTGATTCGGAAAACACGTGAAATGGAACCATAAATCAGAAATAATGGTTCGGGAGGGTAATTTAAAGACAGAATAAAAAAAATATTTCATGCTCAGATATTTTGATACTTCAATGTTGTTGTCAGAGTCTCTTTTTTGCATTACAGAAGATTTCCACTTTCCAGACCTGTTGCAGCGACAGAAGTCAAAAAACTTTTCAGACTGATTTGGTTCGTTGATTTTTTTTTGCTTTTTTCTATCACACGTTCTACATTTTCGTGTGCCAACGATTGCATTTTAGTGGTTACTAAGCAGACAGTGTCTGTCTGGAGATCACTGTCGCTAAGATTTTCACTTTCAATTTTAAAAGAAAGAGCCGCTGTTGTAATGTTTGTAGATCGTGAGAATAATTTCAGATACATACATTAAAATATATTTAAAAAGTCGTTCTTTGTGATTTTAATAAGCTTTCTATCATTGAAATCCATTGTTATTTAATTGCTATTATCATATCTACGTATCTAAGTTGACGAATAGTTCGCAAATTGGTTTTAAATTTGAAGGTCTTCGAACTTTTTTCCAAATTTAAGGTCTTAAGTTGTGAACAGAGAAATTTGAAGCAATGGAATGTAATCATTCATTCAACTCATTGAATCTGTTTAAATCATAATTTTTCTGCTTAAACAATTGAAACTGTTGATTGATTTTTGAATGAGTATTATTAAATCGCTTCAACAAGCTTCACATTATCATTTTTAATTTACAATGAAAAATAGTTAAAGTATAACACGCTTGTTTTGTTCCTCGTGAGATGCTTTTTAAATTTAAATTGTTGCCTTTTATGAAGCACAACAGGCATCCTAAGATTTATTGTGTGTGCTTCGTTACGCTTTTAAATGTTTTTTAAAAATGTTTTGTCGTCGTGTCTAGCCGATTAAACTTAAAAGATTCAGCTTCTCACTAAAATGTCTCAATAGCTTGAAATTTTTGGAAAATTGTTTCAACTCGCTTTCATGGTTCATGCATCATTCATAAAGTTTCTTTTGTGAAAAACTTAAATACGTGCGATGAAAATGTTATGACTTTTGAAGAGTTTTCTTTGAAGTTGAAAAAGCGACAAACTTTCTCTGAGCGCCATTTGGTAAGTTCTGAACGCGTGAATTAAACAATTTAATAAGCGGAAAGGAAATAAATAAATTCAATAAGTGAAATTAATTTTTAATTGATGCAGAATGGAATTCGAGTAAATTTCCGGAACTTAAATTATTAGCGTGCAGAAATCAGTCAACAATTGTTTGTCTTATTGCTTGTTGGTTTCTTCAAATGTAAATGCACAAATCTAAAAATCTACTTAAAAGAAAATGAAAAAGTGTCACAGATTCAATTAGAGACAGCGACATGTTTGCACTTAAATTCACAAGCGGCAAATTATATTATTCTGCTTAATCACCGAAACTCAAAGTTTTTCACTTCCTATTTATTGTAAGGTGTTAAGTTGACAGAGTTTTGTTTTTAAAAAGAATTATTTTATGTTTTACTATTTATTTTGCCTGATGATTTCGATAAACAGAAAATTTTAGAGTCATATAAAAAATTAAATTATTTGCAATTGCAAACTTAACCATTCAAAAAAACAATTTTGCTTACGAATGTTTAAGTATTGTGGGGTTTCATAAAATTTCTACTCATTTTTCACTAAGCAGGTAATTTAAATTGCTTTCTTCTTTTCTCCAAAATCATACGTTTTGAAACTTTTTAAGAAAATAAATTAAGTATATTCAAACTCATCTCAAAGCATGACAAATCTGATGCTGTTTGAGAGTAAATCTCAAGTTTCGTCAATTTTCAAAGATGAAAAAATTTAATGAAACTAGATTGAAATGTTGGAATAAAAACGAAAGAAAAGAAAATAATTTCTTGCTGTTAACTGTTTGATTGTTACCGATTAAATTTTAAGGGTTCTGGGAGAGAAAAAGATTTTGATTCATGCGCTGAAGTAGTTGATCAAGTTCGTTTTCACGGTCCATATACCCTACCGAATAATCAATGAAAATTCACAAAAAGAAACTGTATTAAATACTGATTGTTGGTTCAAGTTAACTCGCTACTTCATACAATCCGAAAGCGTGAAAAATTGGCATAGGTGTCGAATGTTTAAGTGTATCATTAATTTTAATATGCATCANATACGTTTTGAAACTTTTTAAGAAAATAAATTAAGTATATTCAAACTCATCTCAAAGCATGACAAATCTGATGCTGTTTGAGAGTGTCGCCGAGGCTCCTCAAAATATAATCTGAATTATTAAGAAAACAAATATTTGCGAATTAAGAATCAAATCTAGAATTAATTTATAACGGTGTAACTTGTAACGGTCTCTTACGTTTAAATTCTCGTGCTCAACCCCTTTAATCCGAATGAAAGATAAGGCAGACATTAAAACGTGAAAGTCAGAAAGAATTGTTAAAATCGAAAACCATTGAAGTAAACGGAACGTATTGCATTTGTTAAACGGAATAACAATTGGTAAAGATATTCTACTTTCCAAAAACATGACAGTCTGATAAATATATTTATAATTTAGCTAGAAACGTTCAGACAAGGAATTGGGAAAAGAGCACGAGGAAAACTTATATCCGAAGGTACTTGTTAAATTGCGCGAAGTTAAGATATTCGCATAAACTGATCATTTACGATTCTCCTTTAGTTGTGTTCATTTTCCCGCATTGATTAAAACGTATACCAGAAGCGTAAGAGTCCGACGCCGTGATCGTTGTAAGTTACATTGTATTTCCTTCGAAAGTCATGCTTACGAATTATTATGTTACAGGAAAATAAAATTCCATTCACTACGAAAATCTATCAGATTCTTTGAACTCAGCGAATCTTTATTTTGAGCGCGGCTAGGACTTGTCGTAACCGTGTCGGTTAGACGACAGAGAGTAAATCTCAAGTTTCGTCAATTTTCAAAGATGAAAAAATTTAATGAAACTAGATTGAAATGTTGGAATAAAAACGAAAGAAAAGAAAATAATTTCTTGCTGTTAACTGTTTGATTGTTACCGATTAAATTTTAAGGGTTCTGGGAGAGAAAAAGATTTTGATTCATGCGCCGAAGTAGTTGATCAAGTTCGTTTTCACGGTCCATATACCCTACCGAATAATCAATGAAAATTCACAAAAAGAAACTGTATTAAATACTGATTGTTGGTTCAAGTTAACTCGCTACTTCATACAATCCGAAAGCGTGAAAAATTGGCATAGGTGTCGAATGTTCAAGTGTATCATTAATTTTAATATGCATCATCAGCTCTTGTCAACAATATTTCATAATTCAGGAATTCTTTCAAAGGAAGTTATTAATACAATTTCAATTGAAACGTAAATAAGGAAAAACAATTTTTTTGTGACGAGTTTGCACTTAAATTCTGTTGCAATTTTTTGAACACATTGAAGTGAAGTTACATCAGTTCAAAATGACATCAATTCCGACTTTACTTAGAAGATTTCCCATAATTAATCATAAGATGATCATCGTTTAGTACTTTACCATTGTTGATTACTTAACTGATCTAATTCACATAAAATTGTTTCATTACGATGTTGTCATGAAGAAGCGTCACTGTTTAATCACATAGACCTTGATGCTAGTTACTCATCGTAATCGCAATGATTGTTTCGGATTCTTTTTTTCTCACAAATGCTAATTGAAATCAAAGTTTTCTTAAACGGTGTTGATCATGTTCAACACTTTCAACTTACTCTTAAAATTTCACAACCATTGATTGTGCAATTTGTTTAATAATTTTTCATAACTTTTTTTTCGACGTCAAATTTTGGAACAAACGATAATTTGTAAACATTTTTTTAGGTATTTTTGCTGACGGTTGGGCAGTGAAATGAAACAAAAATAGAAATTTCGTCTTGTCACTTCCCTGTAACCGAATATCTGTGCTAGATTTAATTATCGCTCGAGTCTAAAATGATTCGAAAGCAGAATGTTAAAGAACGTGCAGAAGTGCATCGATTGCCAAACAAGGGGAACTACCGGAAGTCTATCATCGATCGTAAACTTACAAAGTTAGATGGGTTCAGGTTACTTTTGTTTAAGTTAATGCACTAAAAGATTGCAGTAATCGTTGTATCAACTGTTTGATCGATAAAGAAACGCCCTTTGAAATAAACTTCAACATTTGGATTTACATGTTTCTCTTAACAAACTTAGATTATCTTTGATGAAATGATTCGGTAACAAGCAGATGAAGATGCTTTAGTTCAGCGACCTTTTCAAGTGAATGTTTAAGTTGCATGCTTATAAACATCAGGTGTGAATGATTTCATGAACAATATGTTTGATAGACGTGAATAAAGCATTCTGTTCACAAACTAAAACACATTCAATGGAAAGCTCATTGAAGTTTTATTAGAGAAGAAACTCTTGTGAGTTATTTGCATTTATTTAGTGCTAATCTCTATTTCTCACAACTGTTAAGATCTGAAAATTCTTTCGGACGACATTGAAAACAAAATGAAAAGTGAAAATATGTAGAAATCTATTTTTATGATGTAGCAAGATAATCTGGAGAGAATCAAGTATCACATACATGCATTACAGTTTTGTTTATTACTTAAATACATAAATAAAAGTATTCTAGATCATGAACTTGTCGTTTTCCTCTTGAGCTACTTGAACCCTCATATTAAAACGAAAAGTCAACGAAGCTTGACAAAAATCAGAACTTGCTGGTTTGATGCGTTAAGGTTTTTGTGTTTTATGATTCATATTTACAACCGATGAACCTACGGGATATTAACGGGAAATCCGGAAGTTGACATTTTATTTTGTTAAAAGTAAGTGAATCGTTAATTTAGAAAAAAAAATTCTGAGTTTACGCGAAATATTTTTCATATTTCTTGCAAAATTATTAAAAAATGTGAAATAAAAGTGAGAATCGGAAAGGATTTTTTTAAATGTTTGTCAAACAGATGAAAGTGAGTCAAATTGTGTTATTTCTTTTTAATCAGATAGTCTTTTGAACACTCATTGCGACTTTTAAAGATTTAAACATTTTTTTTGAAATTATCTGCCGCTTTCCAGTCTTACGACAAACGAGTCGAATCGAATTTACAATCAAAAGCACATCGCGCCTTTCATGATGCTTATGTCGAGGTGTTTCGTTAATTTAAATGGACCGTAAAAATTATGTTGTTTTAAATCTTTCAGAAATCTAACGCTAACAACGGAGGTTTTAACAAAAATATTTCCGATATAATTGACAGCGATTGATTGATGAATAACAAAAATCTGTAAGATTTTTCTGATCTATTTTATATTTCAAACTGAACCTTATTAGATCTAACAATCCAATATTTTCCACAACTCTTTTAAGTCTCCAGACAAAACAGTTTTTAATTTGTCACGCTCAGAATGAGTTCTTGAATTTAAAACGTTTTTTCTCCAAAATTTATTTTCATTTCGTGTCTTTGACGAAATTATTTGCTTGAACTGTTAGAAATTTTATTCAAGATTTTTTGTTTCCACAGTTTGTTGTCACGAGTCTTCATCAATGTTAACTTACGAATTAAATCCTTATATAAAATGATCCTTTGTGTGTACTGCTTGAATATTCCTTTTAATTAAAAATAATTTTCTTAACTTTTGATCTTCTGAGTGATCAATTAAAACAATTTTTTTCTTCTTAATTTATTTTTCTTTTATGTTTTGCATAAGAACTGCACTTGAGCTTTTTGATATCATTGGATTTATGTTGAACAATGAAATCATCAAAGCATAAATTTCTTCAAAAAATATTACACCGAAACTAACCAGGTATAGTAAAAATCGAAAGATTATGAATTAATAAAAAATAAAAGATTACAATTTGCAACTTTTCTATGTAGGAGAGGAACGTAAAATTCAACCGCTTTTTTTTCAACTATTCTCGTTGACGATTAAAATAAAACTGAGCGAAGAAATTATTCGAAACATGGCTCGAAGCATAACACACAAAAAAGAAAACAATCGTATGGCACGGCATGGAAAAAAGTGAGAAAAAGAGAGCACAAAGTGTCTGGCCGGATGATTCCGCAATTATTTTCGTTATGTTCTTTATGGAAATATTTCAGTTGTTTGTTATTCAAATACAACTCTGTTGAAGCAGACATCGTACTTAAGCTCCATGCATAAGAAAATGCAGTGATGCATGAACTTTGTTTCAAAACATTGGGGAACTTGAGGTATTCAAAAAGTTAGAAGCATCTGAACCATCTAATTAATTATGTATACCGGCCTTGTAGTTCGTCGCATGTATAGTTGAGTGATCATCTAGAATTAATTTGATGATTTTATGCTGCAGAATTTATGTTGATTAATTTTTTAAAGAAAATATTAAAATACTTAATTAGACCATCTGTTTTTAAATAAAGTGTTATTTAAATTTTTATCGTTTTAAAAGCAAATGTTCATTATTACAATTATTATTCGCCTTCAGAATATCTGCAGCACAACATTTCTATATTTCATTCATATTAGGCTATCTAATGGGATATTTGGAAAAATAAAAGTTAATTTATTCACTTAAGATGATTGTTTTATTGAGCTTGAAATTCAGGCTGGATCAATCATTATTTTGTATTAAAAGAAGTTAGCAAAAAAATTCAAACTTGGTTTTTAAATTCTTAATTAATTCGAGTAAATTCTTGATTTGTAATAAATAGTTAATCTTCAACCATTTTGTAAGAAACGACAGTTTCAACCTTTTGTAAACCTGTCGAAAATGATTTAAGATGAACAACTTGACTATTTTTGATAGCTAAAGCGTTCTTATCAGTTTCATCCCAATTTTCGGGAATGTTTGTATCCTTCAGGGTATGAATGAGCAAATCAAAGCTACAGACGCTCTCGATTAATGGTAAGTAGCTAACAGTAGCCGCAATTTGTCTCATGACTGCTCCTATTTCAGTTTGAATTTTCTTAAGTTCTTTTGAAGAAACAGGATTATTCGGATCGATTTTGTTTGGGTCCTGATTTTGATCCATCAACTCAGATTCGACTTTGAAGTCCCAACATTCAAGAACTTCACGTGTTTGAACGTTAGAAATTGTCATTGAAAACTTTTCTACTTTATTTGTTGCTAACCACTCTGGAAGTTTAAAATAAATTATTCTGCAATCTTAAAAAATTTATCATCAAAGTTTTACCTTCAGCCTGAGTTAGAACGTTACTTAAAAATTCTTTGATTTTCTCATCTTTTGACATAAGAATTGTAAGGCCATATTGTTGGACTGGAGTGAAATTCTCTGCTGGATATATGCCTCTTTGAAAAAGAATAGAATTGACTCCATAATCTTATTTAAAAAGGAAGAAATCAACTTAAAATATTTGTTTACATTTCTGATGATGAATTCATTGCTTACTTAAGTATTCTTTTATAATAGCTGCTGATCCTTTCAATGTGATTGAATTTTTGGTCGCTGTTGCAGACATCTTGATATTTTAACAAAGATCAATTACCAATGAATGTTCTTAATTTCTATTTTCTTGGCACAAAAGTGTGAATTCAAAAATTGAATAATTTTTTAAACTTGAAGCGATGCTTCGTAACGACTTTCGCGCTTTGAAAAACGAAAAGCAATGCTTTAGAAAGTTGATACAAACTTACTGCTTTGAAAATAAAAGTGCATTTTCTTGTAAACAAATTGAAAATGATTTTAAAATTATTCTTATTGCTTAACATCAATATACTTCTTGCAAACTCAGCACACACAAAAGATAAAAAAGATGCAAAAGAACAACAAAAAGACTCATCACAATCTGCAGAATATAATCCATTTGGGGCACTCGTGAGGTATAATAAATTTATTGCCATTAAAAGGAGATTTTAATTAATAATAATTATTTTATTTTCAGATGTAACATGCTGCCATTAGAATTTATTGATTGTGATGCACTAAAAGATCACAATGGAAATAAAACAGCTCAAGAAGAAGCTGGTCATGGATGTCTGAAAATTGGTGGAATCAGATGGCATGAAGTAGAACGAGCTAAAGCAGAATGCACTGTGCTACCAGAAATCGAATGTTATGGTCCTAGAAACTTTAAACGAGATGGATTTCCATGTGTAAAATATGGAGAACATTACTTTCTCACAACTCTTCTTTATAGCATCCTACTAGGATTCCTTGGAATGGATCGTTTTTGCTTAGGACAAACAGGAATCGCTGTTATGAAGCTCTTGACTTTAGGAGGACTTGGACTTTGGTGGGTGATAGATATAGTTCTCCTTGTATCAAATAATCTTACACCAGAAGATAATTGGAATCAGTATGCTTAAAATTATTTAGAATAAAGAAAAATTTAAATTTAAGTTGAAAAAATCGAGCTGTGCATATAATCTAAATAAAGTTTGTGTTTCTGTGAATATAAGTTATAAAAGTAGTGATAGTTTAAATAAAATTTGGAATTTCAAATGAAAAGATTCTAATCTTCAATATTCAACTCAATCATCATTTGTATTGTTTTTGTTTTGATTTAAGTTTCATACATTTGTGTTCATATTTGACCTGAAGTTCTCTCGTTTTATTCTCAATTTGCCTTTTAAAGTGTAAACATCTCTGATAATAATGAACAGAAAATGAAATTTTTAAAATATTTTTCTTTATTGTTGTTCATTCAAAAAGGTGATTTCTTTTAATTCTTTAAGCATAAAATATTTAATTCAAATTGAATTTCCAGTTTGTTCAACTCCTTGTGATTTGCGTGCATACCGAACTGGTTTGGTTTGTGTTTGTAACTCATCTTATTGTGATACATTAGATGTGAAACTTCCTAAAATTAAGGGAGAAGTTTTGATCTTGTCAACAAGTAAAAGTGGTTTGAGATATCATGCGACAAAAAGTCATTTTGGAAGTGACAGAATCAAAATTTTGCATGGTCCATATCATTACGGAACATCAGGAAAATCTAAAAGCTATCAAATAATTGCTCAGTCAATATCAAAACTCGAAAAGGCATACGAAACTTTAACAGAAACGACAGCTTATATAAGCACCAATTATTCAGCAACATATCAGAAAATCATTGGATTTGGCGGAGCTTTTACTGGTTCCGTTTCCTTTAATTTGAAGCAATTACAAAGTAATGAGTTACGTCATCATGTTTATAAGAGTTTCTATTCGAAACAGAAAGGAAATGGATTCAATTTTATGAGATATCCAATAGGTGGATGTGACTTTGATCTTGAACCGTGGGCCTACAATGAACAGCCTGAACATGATCCAGACCTGTCAAATTTTAAGCAATTAGATCAACGTGATCTCGATAAAATTGATCAATTAAATGAGTTGCGAAGTGTGACCAATAATCATGATATAAAGTTTGTCGGAGCTGCATGGAGTCCGCCTCGTTGGATGAAGACAAATAATGATTGGACGGGCTTCAGTGCGCTACGAATAGAATATTATCAGACGTGGGCTGATTATCATGTTAGATTTCTTGAGTTGATGCATGATAAAAATATCTCATTTTGGGGTATATCAACTGGCAATGAACCATTAAACGGAGTGCTTTTTCCAAACTTTATTCATTTCATGAGTCTCGGTTGGTTACCTCAAGATCAAGGTAGATGGGTCGCTGATCATCTAGGACCAACTTTGAAGAATTCCTTAACTGCATCCAAAGTTAAAATCCTTGCTGGTGATGATCAACGTTACACTTTTCCCTGGTGGTTTGAAAAAATGTATGACGCCAACCCTGATGTAGCGAAATATATCGACGGAATGGCAGTTCACTGGTATGCTGATAAATATGCAGGAAGTAACACTTTGGATGATGCAGAGAAATTATTTCCCGGTACATTCCTAATACTCTTCATCAATTGAGTTGAAGTGTTGTAATTTTAATTTTTTTTTATGGTAGACAAATTCTTTCTATCAACCGAAGCTTGTTCTGGTGATAAACCATGGGAGATACACGAACCAATTCTCGGACATTGGCCACGATGTGAAGATTACATTCTTGATATAATTGAAGATTTGAATCATTATATGAGTGGATGGATTGATTGGAATTTAATTCTCGACCTGGATGGTGGACCAAATTATGTCATGAACACTCTTGATGCTCCCATGATAGCAAATGGAAGTGAGATCTACAAGCAGCCAATCTTTTATGGGTTGGGTCACTTCTCAAGGTTTATAATTCCCGGTTCGCAAAGAATATATTCGAAATCAACAAGTCCTTTCATCAAATCAACAGCATTCTTGAGACCTGATGGACTAACTGCAATTGTTTTTTATAACAAGTAAGTTTAGTTATTTTATTAGAAATATTCTTATTCAAATACTTTTACAGCGGTGATCACTACATTGATGTGAATGTTTTGGATAAGTCTCGGGGAGTTCTCACGATTAATGTTCCAGGAAAATCTGTTCACACAGTCATTTACAAGTAAAATATTTGAGAAAGCAAACTGCCTTCATTGACAGTAGCTTTGAAATAAAATGTAATTCCAATAAACACAAATCAGTAATAACATTGATTGGGTTTGATGATAATCATGACAGCAATCAAATCAATTCTTTTATTAATATTGAAATTATCGATGATCTAGGAAGAGAATATGAAATAAAATAATTTCAAATGTGGTGAAAGAAAAATGAAAATAAAAAATTAAATGATATAAAATTTTATCACTTAAATTAATTTGTAGATTTTAAAAATTTGCTGCTCGTATGAACTTGTATAATATTCGCTTTTAAATAAGTTTAATAATAACTTTAATAAGTGACTCTTTATTGCTGATACTTCTTGTCTCATAAGCACAATAACCACAAATATCTTTGACAATCACATTATCTAAAGTTTTCGATATCTTCCTTTGTCTACGTGTCTATAAATCGATCGCATGATAACAGGCACATTGCAGCTTTTCAATAAATCATGAAGCAATCAACAAAATTATATCTTCACAAATTTTTGTTTATAACTTGCAAGTCAGTAATGTAAAGATTGTCAACGAATGGAGTTTTAGTTGTGCTTTCGTTGATCATTTGGAATGTTGACGTTTAAAATAGCTTTTCTTTGTATAATCTCAATTTGTAGAAGTCACAAATTATTACCAGACAATTTATGTAGTCAACACAATGAAATGTTTATGGAAATAATTTTCCGGTATTTTAATGATCAACATTTCCTAACAGCTGTAGAGCTGCCAGATGTTTTTGATCAAAGAATGGACGTTTTACGTTGTTTTGGAGCCAACAGCATTCGTCCAATTGATTTATTTAATACATTAAATATGAAGTTTGGAGCTAAAGTGGACACAAGTAGCGTATCATCATTCCCTACGACTCACGGATTCTACGCAAATGTTCGAAATGAGACTTCATTATTCAAGTTGTTTGAAAAAGTGGCAAGCTTTAATCCAAGGACTAAATTAATGGTATCTGTTGAAGAAATAAGTTCAGATCTTGTCAAAGAAAGTCTCACAGTTGGCTATAAGAAATTTAAGTTATTGAACATTGCATTATTAACATCGATTGCTAGAAGAATAGACAAAGAAGATTTCGATCATGAAATTGTTCTCTGCCAGTACAATCCATTCACTGATGATAGAAATAATCTTGAATATCCCATGCATCATTGTCTTGATTTTACTCCAAAAAACATGAAAGAAAATTTAATACAAATGGAAGACTTTCAAAAGTTGAGACTTGGAAATTTGCGTGGCTTTCCATTGAGAATTTCTCTTTTCGAATATGAAATGAAAAGTGTAGCGGTTTATGATGAATATGGAAGAATCACTCATTACATTTATCCTGATGGTGAACTAGTGACAGTATTAGCTAAATATATGAACTTTACACCAGCATATTTACCAGAAATTGGAAATGGATTAAAATATGGTTTTCAATCACCAAGTGGAATTTTTGAAGGCGCTCTCGGTGACTCAGAATACGACAGAGCGGACTTATTAGCAAATCCTAAGCTCATTGCCGACTACAACACCACAAATTCAGTTTTCCTTCGACCTACGGCTATGACAAAACTTTACTTCATCATTAAAAAACGGATCACTTATAAAAAAACGATTTTGTCATTTTTCTCAATCTTCGATGATATTTCAATGTGGATTATAATTTCTCTTTTTATTATTTTTCCCATATCTTATAGTTTAATTAATCGAATTGAAACTTTTCTGGTGACAGGAAGGAAAAAGTGTGTTTTTGGTAGGAACACTCTTTACATATTTCAACTTCTCAACAACATTTCAAGTCGTCACTCAAATTTGAATGCTTCAAGAATTACTGCGGCTTTGGTTTTTTTCTACGCCCTCGTAACGACTGCATTGTTTCAAGGATCGTTAATACAGAAGTTGAATCTTAATCAGAATGCTGGATCTTTGAATAAAATTGAGGAACTCTTTGAAAATAATTTCACAATCGCCATGGCACCAATTTTATCGTTTGTTTTCACTGTTCAAGGAACTGACAGAGTAACAAAGCGCATCATGGAAGCTTCAAATGGTGATGTCACTGAAATTGTAATGAGAAGTGATGACGCAATGGAAGAACTTGCATACAATGAGAAACTTGCGTTTTTATGGATAGAAGAAGCAACTGGAACTTTCCTTAATCGTTTCTATGATAATCTCACTGGTGAGAATTTATTTGAACGAGTACCTGAATCAGCATTCGAATTTTACATTGCCATGATGTTACCTAAATCATCTCCATTCATAGACCGTTTCAATCATTTCATTAACATTTATGTTGAAGCTGGTTTGTATCAATATCACGTTAAAAAAGCTGCAGAAGATAATGAAAAAGTTTGGATTCAAAGAATCAGAGAAGGAAAAGTTCCGAAACAAAACAGTCGCACTTTGGAAATGGATGATTTGAAAATTGCTTTTAAACTTTATTTATTTTTTGTTGTAGCTGCAACAATTGCATTTTTCTTCGAGTGTTTGTTATCATTTGCATCAAAACGATTGAAATGTCGGAAATTTCGGTAAGAATTTTAAAAACAAACATTAAGTGAATTATGTATGTCACTTTATACATTCTGATTAATTTATTGGCAATTGGCAAAAAATATAATAAAAGTCTATAAGAATCTTTATGTAAACTAGACAAAATTGAGTTATGTATTTAGAAAACATTTTTTTTCAGAAGATGTAAAGATAAAATTTGAACTCTAAAAATGTTAATTGAAAATGATTTTCGAGTGCGTCATTTTGGTTGTTCATTTATTTATCTCGCTATCGTGACTTTATCGAAAGGTTATCATCGAAATTGAAAATTTTCTTAATTATAATAATTCAATAGCTCGTCATAAATCATCTACAAAAAGTTTAGTTTTATATTTCACTCTTTGAGATGACCCATTCGCATATTACTTTTTGGATCTATCACAAAATTTTTCTTACCTTGCGTGATTACTTTAGATAATTACAAAATTTGTATCCAACATTTGTGATTGCATGACAAGTTTAAACAAGTCATAAAATATTCGACTGTCATTCGAGATGGAAGTGTTTAAATTGTTTGGAGCTTTTCTTCTAATTTGTGTCATTGGAATTGAAGCTAATATTTGGGACGGTAAGGCAAACATTTCTTGAATCCAAAAATAAAATTAATTTAATTTAAAAGAATTCCTATTAGTGATTCAAAAGTGATTCTTCCCCAGATTTCCAAAATAAAATGTTGGGCAAGAACCGTAAAGGAAATCGATTTGATGTTTCGATTTGTGTCAATCAAATTTTACGAAAGTACTTGAAGCCTGATTACATGAAAAATTCATCAACAATCTTTCTCAATTTACTACCAAATGGTGAAACTAGTTCAATGATGACGCAGCAAAGAATTCTTAAACTTCTTAATGAAGATGAGAACCACCAAGTTAATTTGATAATTAAAGACGATTCACCACCGCAGGAAAACGAGCCAAGAGCACTTGAAAAAGCTAAAAATTATCTCATCATTGTGACATTTCCTTTAGACATTGTCGAGAACATCAAAAAACTTCAAAAGTTGAACTCGTGGAATCATGAAGCAAAATTCGTCGTTGTGGTCACTGAGCGATACGCTGATCAATTTGAAATGGAACTCGTCGTTTCAGGAGCCTTCAAACTATTTTTTGATTATTCGATTTTGAATCTTTATGTCTTAATTCAAAATTTAGATGCTGATAGTTTGCTACAAACATTCATTTGGTATCCCTACGACGGCGATTCATGTTCTGATGTAATTTCATTTTATAATTTGGAAGTTATTGATGAATGTGAAATGCTGAAAGACAGCCGCGATGGCGATCCTAAATTTGAATTACGTGAAATTGTTGCTGAGAAATCACGTTTGCCCGATAAATTCCATCAATGTCCATTAATTGTTACTACGCCCATTTGGGAGCCTTTTGTGATTGGTTCACCTGAAGCACCCACAGATGGAATTGAAGTAATGTTAGTTAAGACTTTCGCTGAAAAACTTGAAATGACATTAGAATTTAATGTCATTGATGATGCAACTGCTTTCAGTTTGGTCACGGAAGATGAAGAGACGGGATTTTATGCATCATTAATTAATCGTGAAGTTGATGTGATGATTGGTGGATTGTATGATAATGAAGTCAGCAGAAAGCTTTTAAGCACAACAATTCCCTACGACTCTGATGAAATAACTTGGTGCGTCCAACGAAGCGGCTTAGCACCAAATTGGACAAACTCATTCGCTATATTTGACATAATGCTTTGGATTTATGCAATAATTTGCATGTTCGTATGTGCCGTGTTTCTCTATATTTCAGTGAAAATTGAAAAGGATAGAAAGGAAAATTTTATGTGGGCGGTAATCATAACATTGTGTTATTCAATTGGAATTTATGGACATTATGAACCCAAACGAGGCTTTATTCGTTACTATGTTGGATTTCTCTTATTATATGGCTTGCACTTTTCTGCAGCATATCATAGCTTTTTGTTGAGTGTGCTGACAACGCCAAGATACTCCCCTCAAACTTCGACTATTGATGAAGCCATCGATGCCGAATATCATTTCACTGGTGGCGAAAATTTAAAAGCTGTTTTCGAAAGAACTGAAGGAGCTTCAGAATATTTAAGAGAGGCTTATAAACCATGCTATGAAATGGACAAGTGCTTAATGGATATTGAAAGAGATGAGAAATTAGCTGTTGCCATATCACGACAACACGCGACTAATGCTCGAATCCCTCTTAACGTTGAAAACATGTATTGCTTCGATAAGGCTAACAATATCTTCAGCTTCTCTGTTGTGATGCTTTTCAAAAAGGATCATCACTTGTTGCCTGCTGTTAACGTTCTAATTCGTCGTATAACTGAATCAGGATTTATTTTGAAATGGAAAGCTGACACTGAAAAAGCTAATCTGAAAGAAATGGAACGAGGTGATCCACATGAAAATGCAGAACCGCTAAATCTTGGCCATTTCCTTGGTTCATTTGTCTTGATGTTCGTTGGCTTCTGTTTGGCTTTAGCAGCTTTCATTGGTGAATGGATTGTCTTCTTTTTGGCAAAGAAAAAAAAGGAAAATTAAAAAAAACACAAAGAAAAGCAAATTAAAAATAAATTTAAAATTTTGCTTCACAATTTAAAATTTCAGAGCTTAAATATAAACTTTTGGCAAAATAGGGTGGTTGGCTAATTATCGATCACCTCGAAATCGCGTTCAATTATCGACCACTACTTTCGAACTTAATTTTCTCAGCTATTTTTTATTATTTATGGCTTAAAACTTTGTAGAAAGCTACTTTGGACTATGCTCTAC